AAAGAGAAAGGAAAACTTGAAATCGCATCATATGACCCCTTTAATCAATTGAATGCATCCTTGCTGAATAAAAGTATTCTTTATGATACCAACTCTAAAAACCCAGTTCAGGGTTTAAACCGGCGACTTTTACCAGCACAGATCTTCATAACGCTACACCACCCCACCCCAGGGAAATGATCTAAGAGAATAAAATCAGATAAATAGAGTTTGTGTCTAAGCAGAATGAGGAAAGACCGAACTGCATGAGACATCTACAACCTCTTGATCACCATTACAACAAGAAGTACTAAGACAAAAACTGAAGTGATGCATCAGCAGCACTAGGCAACAGGACACAACAAAACCTCCTGCTAAACAGAAATTTGCTTGTCTGTATTCTCAACTACTCAGACAGATCTTATTTCAGATGTACATGCTGTTGGAGATTAAAGTAAAACTGTCCTATCCAGGCGTGATGTTTTTAGTGGCAAGTAATGAAATGTATGGTAGATGATGACTTTAAGATAAGAGTAAACTATTAAATATTCATCATTGACTGCTATATATACAATAATGACTGAAAGCATTTAATATAAAAGATGCCAATACTGGCAGAAAACCAGTATGGTGCAGATATATTGTGCATTCCAAATTAAAACGTATTTAATGTGGAATAGTTATGAACCAATTATTTTTTTTACAGTGGGCGGAGATACCCAGTGTGACAAGAGAAATAGAAATCAAACGTCTGTCACAAATGTCCTGGGGTGTATTCCAGAAAGCACGGTTAACTTACCGTCAGCTAAACCCTGAACTTTCGGTTGATTAACCCCAAACCGTGCTTACTCGAGGTATGTGGTTCCAAAACTGCGTCCGGGAGTAAGTTCATTCAACTCAGAGTATGTTCCTGGTTAAGACTCGAGACATTCTCAACAGAGCGACGAATCGACGAGTCACTATGGAAACAGACGCTAAGAAAAGGCACGCCATGCTGTTTCTTTCTTCTTCTTTTATTCAATGGTCGTTTACATGCTTAGTGCATATCGCCACCTAATTGATAGTTGTGCAATCTTTTTTTTTTTTCGTTTAATCTTTAATCCTCGAGAATCTGAATTATATTGTTTGTTTGATGCTAATTATATATTAAGTCATATCAGATATGTATTTTGATTTAGAATTTAGACATTATAGAAAATGCCGATCCATGTGTGAGATAATATAAAATGTAATAAATATAAATATAATAAATTAAACATTACCTTGTCATAGTGTTTTATAATTTATACAGATAACAGTTTTATATGCCAATAAAATAAATATAATAACCATATTGGAATAATATATTACCTTATTTATTACTTATATTAGCACTTCATCATTAACATATCATTCATATACGCTTATCCTCAAACATACCCGGGGTATGTCACATAACCTGCTTTTTGGAATACCCCCCTGATGTGCTTGGTTTAGGTTTAAAAAAAAATAAAAATCACAAAAAGAGAGAATTCATATTGCTTGGCAATTTATGATTAGATACATCTTTTAACTGGATTAATGAATTTGCTCTTGGTCGACAAAGAGATAGTCCCAACCCAAACTCATGCCAGTGGTTGAGCCAATGTTGTTGCATCAGACTGATTGAGGCACTAAAACAACAACAACATGCTGATAGTACCAGACCCAAAGTGTTTACACTTCACAGGCAAACCAACCTTCGGAAGTCTTACTTTTAGCCTCTGAATATTAAGATGGAATGATCAAATGTTTTTAACATCCCAAAAAATTACTTAACCTTTAAATTGTCCTGTTTTATCTCACCATTTCCTTCAAAGTATGTATATATATAACTGACCCAAAAGTACCTAAAAAATTGTACAACAATAGCTTTTACTGTTTTGCAAAGCTATATGTGTGAAGACCCAGAAGACCACTCACCATTCCAGATGCAATGCTTTTTGCAAAACTAACTCTCTGTTCCCATGGGAATGAGTCCTGTATGAACAGGGAGACAGAGACAGAGAGAGAGAGAGAGATGAATTGCTGGCCTAGTTTATAACCACAGTATAATACATCCCAGTGTGACAGCACGCTATGCTGTCCGTGAATTAGAGAGGAAATCGTTACATAACGGCAGCCACTTATTACAGACAGAAATTACAGACACACTTTTATAGAAAACATTATAGCGCAATAGAGAGACACAATGTAAGACTGAACGAGAGAGGTATATCATCCGTTATCTTTAGGTTTGGTGTTGAAACCCATATTTTGAAGCAAACCCACTGCGTAATCTGGAAAACATTCTCACTAGAATCCCTCACCTGGAAACACTTCATACCTCCTTTATCTCTCATCCACTGCAATCACACAACAGCATTTTCTTCCTCTCATTTTACAGACTGTTTGTATTTTCCAGTCCCTATTCCCTGTCTTTCTCCCTTCCTCCTTATAAAGTTCATCTCAGGTGAATGGAGACAGTGACAAAGACTAAACCACTAACAGATGATATACAGCCCTTCCTAGAAGCAAGAGGAAAGGAAAAAGGGGGTTTTAAAATCAGGACGCACCGTGTCTCGGATAAAATCCTTTAGAGTGCCTCCCTCAATGAACTCGGTTATCAGATTAAGCCTCTTGTCCTTGTACAAAACCCCAATGAACTTCAAAACATGTGGGTGATCAAGATTTCTCATCACTTTTACCTGGAAAAGAGAGACGGAGAGAGAGAGTGAGGAAAAAAAATATGAATTGCTAAGATTCTTAAAATGATAAATCTAAGACTAAAGGCCCAATCCCAATTCTATTTTATACCCCTTCCCTGTCCCCTACCCCTTCCCCTTTGTCCCTTGAAACAGTGTGTCAAGGGGTAGGGGTGAAAATATTCCCCTAAGAATTGGGACACCACTACTATACGTCACACGTCATCATACGTCGTCTGTACACACACATATACTGGTGTGCTGCTGGTGTGTGCATTAGAGCCTTTAATTACCGTTCTATATTAATGCGCTGCTTACTGACATACACACACTAGATATCACGCAGCTCACACATCCAGGAGCAAAGAAACTTGGCAACGCTGCCCCACGACTTTTATTAATAACAGTTTAAATACTGAATTGCTACATTATATTTTCCAGCAACGAAAGGATAAAATCGCTGTTTTTGAAGTAAACGCACCCTAAAAAGAGAAACGCACAGACGCGCATACACACAACTTTCATCTCTCTGTCTCTCGCTCTCGAATTGGCAATATTTGAGGAAAGGGTTTAGCGATTTATAATTATTGGGGGTACTAGCCCTCAATGAACTTCAAAACGTGTGGGTGATCAAGACTTCTCATCACTTTTACCTGGAAAAGAGAGACGGAGAGAGAGAGTGAGGAAAAAAAATATGAATTGCTAAGATTCTTAAAATGATAAATCTAAGACTAAGGCCCAATCCCAATTCTATTTTATACCCCTTCCCTGTCCCCTACCCCTTCCCCTTTGTCCCTTGAAACAGTGTGTCAATGTGGGTGATCAAGATTTCTCATCACTTTTACCTGGAAAAGAGAGACGGAGAGAGAGAGTGAGGAAAAAAAATATGAATTGCTAAGATTCTTAAAATGATAAATCTAAGACTAAAGGCCCAATCCCAATTCTATTTTATACCCCTTCCCTGTCCCCTACCCCTTCCCCTTTGTCCCTTGAAACAGTGTGTCAAGGGGTAGGGGTGAAAATATTCCCCTAAGAATTGGGACACCACTACTATACGTCACACGTCGTCTAGCTCCTACAGTACACACACATATACTGGTGTGCTGCTGGTGTGTGCATTAGAGCCTTTAATTACCGTTCTATATTAATGCGCTGCTTACTGACATACACACACTAGATATCACGCAGCTCACACATCCAGGAGCAAAGAAACTTGGCAACGCTGCCCCACGACTTTTATTAATAACAGTTTAAATACTGAATTGCTACATTATATTTTCCAGCAACGAAAGGATAAAATCGCTGTTTTTGAAGTAAACGCACCCTAAAAAGAGAAACGCACAGACGCGCATACACACAACTTTCATCTCTCTGTCTCTCGCTCTCGAATTGGCAATATTTGAGGAAAGGGTTTAGCGATTTATAATTATTGGGGGTACTAGCCCTCCTCAATGTCTACGGTGGTTATCGCCCTGATCAGACATGAAAATATGTTGTGGCACTATCGTGCAGTCTGTAATGATATGACGTTAGCAAACTTTAGCGATTTTTTGCAAACATTTCTGTGACGAGTGGGGGCGGGGCCGAGAGCCATGGGAACGGCGCGAGGCCGGTGGAGTAATTGATAATGAGCGACACCTGCACCACTCACCGGTCTCGAGTCCCACGGAGGAGCTCCGGAAGGATAAAAGGAGGAGTTACGACAGTGAAAGACGAGAGAGGACCAGGCCTGGATTTTATTTTGTGTTTTGTTTCGGCAGTCGTCCGCGAGGGGCTGCTGCTTTACTTTCATTTTGTGATTGTTCATTTTATTAAAGTCTTGAACGTTCGCCGGTTCCCGCCTCCTCCTTACCGAACTACGAACGTTGTTACATTGGTGCCGAAACCCGGGAGGAAGGAGGGACACGCTGTCAGAGAGCCCTCGCTGCTGAGGGGGGTCGCGGTGCTGAGGAGATCGGGCAGCAGGAACAAGCGGAAAGACCGCCGGTGGCTGCCCGAGGCGGTGGTGCTGGAACTATGGAAGAAGGAGGCGGGAACCGGCGAACGTTTGGGGAAAGGGGAAGGGCTAAGGGGTAGAATTAGGATTGGGCCTATGTCTCTTTTCCTCTGAAAACAATCACAAATGCTACAGCAACACTGTATCCCAGCACCGGATATGGAGAAATGAAGGAAAAATTACATGGTAATCAGATGGACGAATGAATGATACTTGTGGGGAAAGAAGGGGATCTTCATACCTCCTTAAGGAATGTTTTCTGTGTCTCTTCATCACAGCGGATCAGCTCCTTCATGACCATCACCTCACCTGTGGCTTTATGGGTCACCTACAAAAAAAATAAAAATAAATCACACAGTATTAGGTTTGGAAGATAAATTATTTCCAGTTCTTCTAAAATACTGAAACCAAATAGTTTTAATGAACTTCATCTGCATTCTTCTGCCAACTGTGAATGGAACTACTATGACACTACTGAACTTATTCCAAGTCAAAAGAAATGCTTTAGCTAAGTTGTTCAATAATAGAATCAAGAAACCACAATTCATAACTGTGGAATCAGAATTCCTTATGATTCCTTTTCAAAAGGAAATTCAGGCCTGTCTTCCAGCACTGAACTTAGCTTCAATGCAGTGAACCAGCTCTTCTAGACAACACTAAGGAACCAGTGAGCAGTTCTAGACACGGCAATACACAGAAAATGAGGAAAGGTTGAATGTATGCACACCTTGATGGCCTGTCCAAAGAAGCCTTTTCCTAGGATTTCTCCATGGATGAGGTCACAGGGACGGAAGATACGGTGGGAGCAGCTGGAAGTAGAACGTAGGGATTCAGAGCGCCCGATATCTCGAGTTAGAATCGGAGGGTCCTTAGGAGATGAAGAGACTGGAGACTTGCAGGTGCTATTGCTACGTCTACAACACACAAGATAAAAGTATTTGTACAAACCCAAATAGCAATTGGAAAAAGATAAATAATGTATGTGTAATGTATTTATTTGCACCATCTCTGTATATCCACATCCACTTGGAATCAAAAAATGTAAATGAACCTACACAAGCCCCGTGATGACACCTGATTAGATGACATAAGTTACCTGAGGGACCTCCTTTTTAACGTCCCATTGCCCACTGAGTCACTTCGTTCGATCTCAGCATCCGCTGATGAGGACAAACGCATACGAGAAGCCGCGGGGACACCCAGTTGATTGCGGGAGCCCAGGCGGAGTCGGTCCAGACGCTGTCTGACTGGATCATATTCCATCAACAGCTGCAGTGTCTGACTGGTCCGATGGATCAGGTCCTCCACCTGGAACGACCAATTCAAATTCAGAAGGTCATATACACTGTGGTTATTTTGATAAGGGTCACAACAACAATAAAAGCAAGAGGACAGCATTAAGTCATAAAACTTCAGTATTGTGCATTAGTGCCATTTACATAACATAGATTTTTCCTTCCAGTCAAAGCTGGTGCCACACAAAAGATACAAAAGGTGCAAAAGATAAATTCTCAAAGCCAACACTGAAATTAAGATTATGTAATACACAGGAACAGTGGAATACGCTGGATATTCAATATTTTCAGGTCGATAAATCTGGACGTGCAGCAATGAAGACTGCTTTCTGTAATTGTAATTGTGATTATGTTCATTTCAGGACTTTAGGATTTTCCATTTTTAGGATTACAGGACTTCAGGCTGCTTATTACATCGGCCAGATGGCTGCTAAATCCAAGTCAATCCAAAAACCTCCCAGTATGTGATTAAATTAAGGCACAAATCCATGACAACAGAAGTAAAGCAGTGGAATTCAGACGTTAAGGAGAAATGGTGGGAAAATGAAATCACATTTACAAATGCATGATGAGAATGCATTTACATAGGAGTTGACGAGTCACTTTAGTCCAATTTATTAATAACAGTTTAAATACTGAATTGCTACATTATATTTTCCAGCAACGAAAGGATAAAATCGCTGTTTTTGAAGTAAACGCACCCTAAAAAGAGAAACGCACAGACGCGCATACACACAACTTTCATCTCTCTGTCTCTCGCTCTCGAATTGGCAATATTTGAGGAAAGGGTTTAGCGATTTATAATTATTGGGGGTACTAGCCCTCCTCAATGTCTACGGTGGTTATCGCCCTGATCAGACATGAAAATATGTTGTGGCACTATCGTGCAGTCTGTAATGATATGACGTTAGCAAACTTTAGCGATTTTTTGCAAACATTTCTGTGACGAGTGGGGGCGGGGCCGAGAGCCATGGGAACGGCGCGAGGCCGGTGGAGTAATTGATAATGAGCGACACCTGCACCACTCACCGGTCTCGAGTCCCACGGAGGAGCTCCGGAAGGATAAAAGGAGGAGTTACGACAGTGAAAGACGAGAGAGGACCAGGCCTGGATTTTATTTTGTGTTTTGTTTCGGCAGTCGTCCGCGAGGGGCTGCTGCTTTACTTTCATTTTGTGTTTGTTCATTTTATTAAAGTCTTGAACGTTCGCCGGTTCCCGCCTCCTCCTTACCGAACTACGAACGTTGTTACATTGGTGCCGAAACCCGGGAGGAAGGAGGGACACGCTGTCAGAGAGCCCTCGCTGCTGAGGGGGGTCGCGGTGCTGAGGAGATCGGGCAGCAGGAACAAGCGGAAATACCGCCGGTGGCTGCCCGAGGCGGTGGTGCTGGAACTATGGAAGAAGGAGGCGGGAACCGGCGAACGTTTGGGGAAAGGGGAAGGGCTAAGGGGTAGAATTAGGATTGGGCCTATGTCTCTTTTCCTCTGAAAACAATCACAAATGCTACAGCAACACTGTATCCCAGCACCGGATATGGAGAAATGAAGGAAAAATTACATGGTAATCAGATGGACGAATGAATGATACTTGTGGGGAAAGAAGGGGATCTTCATACCTCCTTAAGGAATGTTTTCTGTGTCTCTTCATCACAGCGGATCAGCTCCTTCATGACCATCACCTCACCTGTGGCTTTATGGGTCACCTACAAAAAAAATAAAAATAAATCACACAGTATTAGGTTTGGAAGATAAATTATTTCCAGTTCTTCTAAAATACTGAAACCAAATAGTTTTAATGAACTTCATCTGCATTCTTCTGCCAACTGTGAATGGAACTACTATGACACTACTGAACTTATTCCAAGTCAAAAGAAATGCTTTAGCTAAGTTGTTCAATAATAGAATCAAGAAACCACAATTCATAACTGTGGAATCAGAATTCCTTATGATTCCTTTTCAAAAGGAAATTCAGGCCTGTCTTCCAGCACTGAACTTAGCTTCAATGCAGTGAACCAGCTCTTCTAGACAACACTAAGGAACCAGTGAGCAGTTCTAGACACGGCAATACACAGAAAATGAGGAAAGGTTGAATGTATGCACACCTTGATGGCCTGTCCAAAGAAGCCTTTTCCTAGGATTTCTCCATGGATGAGGTCACAGGGACGGAAGATACGGTGGGAGCAGCTGGAAGTAGAACGTAGGGATTCAGAGCGCCCGATATCTCGAGTTAGAATCGGAGGGTCCTTAGGAGATGAAGAGACTGGAGACTTGCAGGTGCTATTGCTACGTCTACAACACACAAGATAAAAGTATTTGTACAAACCCAAATAGCAATTGGAAAAAGATAAATAATGTATGTGTAATGTATTTATTTGCACCATCTCTGTATATCCACATCCACTTGGAATCAAAAAATGTAAATGAACCTACACAAGCCCCGTGATGACACCTGATTAGATGACATAAGTTACCTGAGGGACCTCCTTTTTAACGTCCCATTGCCCACTGAGTCACTTCGTTCGATCTCAGCATCCGCTGATGAGGACAAACGCATACGAGAAGCCGCGGGGACACCCAGTTGATTGCGGGAGCCCAGGCGGAGTCGGTCCAGACGCTGTCTGACTGGATCATATTCCATCAACAGCTGCAGTGTCTGACTGGTCCGATGGATCAGGTCCTCCACCTGGAACGACCAATTCAAATTCAGAAGGTCATATACACTGTGGTTATTTTGATAAGGGTCACAACAACAATAAAAGCAAGAGGACAGCATTAAGTCATAAAACTTCAGTATTGTGCATTAGTGCCGTTTACATAACATAGATTTTTCCTTCCAGTCAAAGCTGGTGCCACACAAAAGATACAAAAGGTGCAAAAGATAAATTCTCAAAGCCAACACTGAAATTAAGATTATGTAATACACAGGAACAGTGGACATTCCAGGTCTGGACATGCAGTAATGAAGACATCTAACAGCTTTCTGTAATTGTGATTATGTTCATTTCAGGACTTTAGGATTTTCCATTTTTAGGATTACAGGACTTCAGGCTGCTTATTACATCGGCCAGATGGCTGCCAAATCCAAGTCAATCCAAAAACCTCCCAGTATGTGATTAAATTAAGGCACAAATCCATGACAACAGAAGTAAAGCAGTGGAATTCAGACGTTAAGGAGAAATGGTGGGAAAATGAAATCACATTTACAAATGCATGATGAGAATGCATTTACATAGGAGTTGACGAGTCACTTTAGTCCAAGAGTCTACATACACATACCTCCCAACATAGGTATGCATTACAAAGTTAAACTCTTGCATGACTACTTGCATTTTATTCTTAAGAAAACTAAATACTGCTTCTGCAACATCAACAAACATATCCTGTGCTTTGACAAAACAGATGCATGCCAATGAAGTTAGAATGAAGCTCCAAGTGTCACATGGATTATGATTTTTAAAAAAACACACATCAAAGCCATATAACAAACACACCCTGTTTCTAGAGAGTTGTGTAAATTGAGTGCATGACCAGGTTAAAGTAAGTACCATAGTATGAAAGGAGTGTCACTGTGCTGGGACAAGCTATAGTATGAGTTTATATTCCAAATGCTTACCATGCTGTATTGTCACATTGCTTCGACAAGTTAACGTTGGCACGATTTCACCTCACCTCAAAGCTAATATCAAGAATGGTAGTGGTAAAAAATGCAAAGTACCTCCTCCTCCATCAGAGCTGACACCGGGAGTCCATTGATCTCCAGGATTCGGTCCCCAACATGGATGGCGTTCCGAACCTCTGGACTAATATGCATCCCTCTGACCCTATAAGGATAAGATTTTGGGAGATTCCCATCATGAAAAGACAGGTTAAGAATGATGAGATGAATCTCATAGCTTTTTGTTATGGTTTCACATCTGAAAAACACAAAAAGAAAGTGGCAGTTTGTGCCCTCAGTCCAACATACGCAGTCGTATCACCACAGTTATGCAACACATTCCATCTGTCTCTGGCACTGGGTGTGGCGACATTGTGGTGAATCTTCGAGGTGATAAATAACTTAAGCAAGTCTCTATTATTCCAAATGCTTCTCAGCATATTCAGCTTTATCTGACTGCTTGCTTAACGAGGACAAAGATCTCAAGCAAAAGTAATTGGGAGATGCATCAAGTGTTTTACGTGTTAATTCCGCATGTCTTTACTTACTCTTTGACCTGAACACTGGCTGTGGCACCGGTGCAGTCTCTAATCACAGTGACAGAGAAACCCCTTTTACCATTGGTGGCAGCAGGCATGGACACCAGAGTCACTGTGTGAGGGAGCAGGTCTGTTGGAGAGTCAGCCAAACCACGCTTCTCCAGCATTGGCGTCAGGACCTCCTGCTTGTAGCATTTACCACTGTGTGAGAGAGAAGTTGAAAAGCCTCACTGGAGCTCGAAAACTTTAGAACCTGAACTTTCAGGACAAGACCTGACAAGAGCAAGTCACTTCTAGACATGTTATGAAACACTCAGATGTGTGTCAACCTGCCTGCGCTTTACTGAAAACAACAAATGAAGATGAACAACAGACAAAATAAATAACATTTTTAAAAAGAATTAGGAGATTAGGAGGTTATGGTTAAATATACAAGCATTAAATATCACTGCTTACCTGAACTCGAATATACATTTAAGTTCCCACAGACTGAATTTAACGTGTAAAGGCTACTTATGGGCTGTTTGCAGTTAATACATTCAATTCAATTCAAGTTTATTAGTATAGCGCTTTTCACGATACAAATCGTTGCAAAGCAACTTTACAGAAAATTAAGTTTCTACAATATTTAGTAGTAGCTTATCAGTGGTGACCGTCAGTTAATGTACATATGGCAGAAATGTAAAGAAAAATCAATTAAAGACGTAATAGCAATTATTATATGATGCGATCAAACTCAATCAAATCAAAAGCATTACATGTGATGTTTCCTCAGTAAAATTTGGAACTAATGGACCTTATTCATGAAACATGAATAGAACAAATGTGTGTTCATAAAACCATTATCTTGTAAATTGGTACTTTAAAATAAATGGGTCAATTTATTGAAGAATTAATTGATTAAATTATAAAAGCAATGAAAAAAGCCAGATGTGCATAAAATGTGTTTCCTTGCAAAGAAAAAAAAAACGTGTTGGACAAGAAATTAATAGATTTTGTACAGTTTAGCTTTCAAAAACAGCTTTGCTTCTCTGCAGTGTCATCCTATTAAACAACACAAAAAAAATACCAGAGATCATAGCTGAAAGGATACTGAAGATAGTTAATTAAAATAAAAAGTCAGTGAGGCTACAATTGAAACTGGTAGATATTTAAATTTTTTTGTGAATTGTCAGGAGACCAGGACACACCTCATTAAACCGGGACGCCTGGTCACCCTAGCTAAGATATGTAAAGTCAACACAGAGGAATCATCACTGCAGTTTGGAGCTACTGCGTGTAAAGTTTCCACACCAGTACAGTCTACAATAAATACATGTACAGTTTGGAGGTTAAATGTGTAAAGTTACTCACCAGTAGAGTTTGGTACGTTCCACTAAGGCATAGGTATCCTGATCCTCAATCACCACCCTGCAGCTTAAACACACAAAGCATTCGGGATGGTATTTATAGTCTCCTGCCACCTGAAACACATGAATGCCCAGTGCACATCAGAACACTGCCATACTGTCTTATGATTTCACTCTAAAAGCCCACAATGGAAAAGATAATCCTCAGTACCAGCAACACCAGCCATGACAGTGGTCCAGATACACTCTTTCTGGGATATTCCTGTATGCTGCATGTATGCAGATTGCTCTCTCTGCCAAGCCCAGGCATGGTGGATCATGCCTTCATTGTGCTTCAGCTGCTTTGTGTTGGTGCACTGTCTTCGTTCAGTCTGCGTTCTTTAACAGTGACGTGAGCGTGTCCTGTCTTTTTCTGTAACACCTGCAAGTGTCTGAGCCTGTCTGTTATCAGAAGTGACATAAGGCTGCCAGCCCCTTCCCCCATAGCCGTGATCCCATGCCCTTAGACAACACATAATTTCTGTCAATCTCTGTTTAACCCCTCTTACCTCTAATGTAGGCTCTTGCTTTGACCTCTCTCCCATAAATCTTAAAAAATATAAATTTACAAAAAAAGTTTGTTAAAGTTTATTCTTTTTGTTTGCCCCTTTTTACTTTTATTCTCTGATGTTTCACCCTGAAAAATGTATAAACCGGAAAAGACCTTCAAATATGCAACCACACATAACATTTTAATCTGAAAAATTCAGAAAAATCAGAGTTCAGAACATGTAGACAGGCAATTAGAGGATTTTATGCCTACTTGGTTTTGGTCTTGGTCATTCCAGCATAAAATGCAAATGCATCTCACCATTGCAAATGACTTAATACCATAACACTCAATAATAAAAACATTCATAGAATGAAAAAAAAAAATATATATATATATATATATATATAAATAAATATATATATATATATATATATATAAATAAATATATATATATATATATATATATTTTATGCATTATACTGCATATAAAATAACAACTGACTGTCCGGTAACCAGCAAAGCTGAAAGAGTATGGGAGTGACGTAATACATTTTTAAATGTCTACATTTACAGTACACCAAGTCTACATTTACAGTGCTTTGCTCAAGGGCAGTTAGTTGAACAGCTTGACACTTGGTTCGACCTGTGAGTAAGCATGGTGTTCTTTTTTGTGCATACACAAATCATAAATGTCATACTTGTCTGTGTGTTACAGCAGAGTGTGAATGTGCATGTGAGAAAGGCTGTTTCCCAGCAGTACTTTGTAAAAGAGCCTCCCCTCCCTTAGGACTCAAGGAGTCATGTCACCATGGCTAACTGAACACAGAACGGATTTTTTTAAAAAACTTTCTACATAGGCGTTTCTCACCCAAGAATGTGATGTGCTAAAAAGTGGTAGCAGAACCATTACAGGAACTTTTAGACATAGAAATTTAACTCTAGAATGAAGAAAAGAGAGGGGGGGGGGACTAGAGTAGAAAACACAACTGAACTGAACAGTGAGTAACTGTAACCCACCCAAAGAAAAGTTTTAATTATCATGGATGGTCTAAGTAAATGCACACACACATTCAAACAAGCACTTCAGCTGTGAGGATGTGATTTCTCCCTGCCCGCCTTTCAGAGGTTTTGACACCCTGCTGGTTGTGCTTCTGAGCCCACAAATGGCAATGCACCCTGACCAGAAATACTTGGCATCCGTCAATCTGGGCCCAAACAGAAAAGGCCCATTATGAGTTTTGCTCGCTGGCAAATTCTCTTCTCTCCCCCTTTTTCTCTCTTAACGCATTCAAAAACTACCTGTTTTTTGTGAGCACTGATTTGTTTTCATTAGAGATGGATTTGTAAGTCTCTCACACATTGATACGGCTTCCATTAGCATCATAATTACAAAGCTCCTCATTGAAGCCCATGCAAAGGCATTCCAGATGCATGATGAACAGCACACAACACTGAGGCCATTCCAGCCTTCAGATCAGTCACCCTGCTCACAGGAATGAGATCATTTATAATAGTCAGCAATAAAAGCTAGTCTGAAATCAAGACAGAGATATGATTCAAGTGAGATATGATACAAAGACCGCTATGATTCAAAGACAAAACTAATGAGTTATATATCCTAGAAGGAGAAGAAAGAAACACAAAGAGAATATTTGAACAATGTTACAGCTGTTCATATTAGTGAGTCATGGGACCCAATACCTTTAAGCTCTGAAAGGACATAAAAGCTAGAAATTAATACATACAAATTAATTGGAATGTCCTTTTTGGAGCTTGACAGTATTAGGTTCAATTGATTTTCATAGTATAGATAAAATCAACAGAAACATTCTTCAATAAATCTTTCGTGTTTTGCAAAACAACATGAGGGTAGGTAAATTGTGAAAGAAACTTCATGTTGGGGTGGAATCATCCCATCAAGTCTGCAGAACAATCAATAGGTGCGTTTCCATTAACCAATGTTATGCGACTAAAACGTAACCTTTTGCCTCTCGCGATAAGTCATGGCAACGGATTTTGTTGGGATTTTGGCTATATTTATTCAAAGGAGGCATATTAATGTATCTTTACAGAAGCAGCACAGAGAGCCGCTTCAGAAACGTGCATGGCGCGGCTGGATTCTGGAATAAACACAAGCATTGTGGCCGCAATCATCTTCAGTGGCCGTATCAGAGCCACACAGCACCGTTAGATGTGTGCAGTGTAAATTGTCTAAGCATTAATGGTAGGGAAAGCCCCTTATACTGAAGAGCGGCCACGTAAGAAGTGTTTCTTGGATGTTATAGTACATTGAAGAATGATCATATGACTTTTTACATATGCCATGTGACCTGTAAATGCAAAAAAACGTTTCCATTGCAGTTTTGCGAATTATTCCTTTTTCGCATTGCCTGAAAAACCACCTCATGCGAGCGTAAAAACTTTTTTGCAAAATTGACGCATTTCCATAAGGTGTATTTTCAATTCGCAATTTCAATTTGCACAATTTGAAGGGTAATGGAAACACGCCTACTGACACATCAATTCAGCATGAGCTCTGCTGAATCTGATGACAGTCTGGATAATCATAATTTACACCTCTGATTGTATACTGTAGTAGTGATGATGGAACAAATGTAGCGGGCTTTGGTCATTTGTGAGACAGCTGTAGGGAAGTTTTAGACTCAAATCAGATTCAAGCTTTGTGCGTTTCATATGATTTCCTCCCACAAGCATCACTTATGTGATTCATTTGCTCAAATTAGGAGTGGAAAAGTGGAAAAGAAAGTTTAAACCACCCTTAACCTTATCAGTGATCTCTTCAGTACCATGAAAAATATCTGCACTTATTGAGTTTTGCCTGCCTTTATTAGACCTCTTGCTTTAGCCATGTAAATATTTACTTAATGAGACAATGGCATGTTATCCAAGTGGTTCTAGCGCAGGTTAGCATTTGCCTTGTGAAATCTTCTTCTTAAGGCCTTTCTACTGAGTCTTGGGGTTTGGGCTTATGGGGCTGTCACGTGATTAAATATTTGCAACAGAAGGAACCAGTGGCTGAAGTGTTTCAGTCATACATCTGGAAATAACAAACAAAAAGTACACAAAGCACTTTCTACTTTAAGACATATCTTCTTGGAATCTGAGGTAATGCTACAGCAGTGGTCAATGATGTCAAAGAAGACATACAGTACGTGCAAAAATAACCATTCACTCGTGACCGAGACAAAGTCCAAACGGGCAACACGCAAACACTATAGTTAAGGAATTTGGGACATGAGCCAAAACTAGTCATGAAACACTCTCATACACACACTCTCTCCTGTCAGCCACCCTACCTACAAATGGAACCTGATGCAGGGATACAAGCTATATGCAACATTAAACTATTATCTATTTCCCATGAGGAAAAAAAATGAACCTAATTAAAGACTTCGAACTGCAGAGCACTTGTCTTGTACCTTGAGCCTTTTTTGAAACAATAAAGGATCATTTGTCCAGAGGAGACAGGGAAGGATGCATGAAAAGCAAAAAGTTCCTTTTTACATGCCACAACTTGTTTTGCCAGACTAGTTAGAGGTGAGGAGGGGGGCAACTGGGACCTACATCCAATGTGAAACACAATGTGTAGGCTACAAAACTTCAGTAGAAATAGTACAGCCTTAGAGGGAAATGGCAGTACCTTGATGAATGCTCAAGGTATTTCCTATAAATATATATTATCAGACACACTTATATAGTCCATGTATGCGTGCTGCTGTTTTAATGATCCCAAAACAACTCTGCATTAATATAATGATATAAATTACCACATATAAATACTCGTATGTATTAGGGAAGTAATGATTCACTCAACTTACGATGCAATAATATTCACAATACTGATTTCACAGTAAGATTCTCACAATTTTTTTTTAACAAAATGAGATTTAAGACAAATTATAAATGAAAAGGAGTCCTTTTAAATGCAGATCACAAATTCAGAGTATGGGACACCATACTTGGCCACACGTCCCTTTCACTTTATTATTGCTTGGACAAAATGCTGCCCATTTCTTTGTGAAACTGAAATAGCCTATGTCAAATAACAAAACTAAATTACATTTTTAAACCAAAACCCAAATCAAATAAATAAATAATGCAAATAAAAGAAATCTCTTCATATAAACAAACTAAGGCTTTGCCTGTGCGCTTTCCATATAAAATTAGAGGTAACCACTGTATCACAATCCAAACAAAGATGCTGAATACATGCAGCATGAGCAGTTTTTAATCTAAAGTATTGTATAATTTTTAAATTTGAAGCAAAACCAGAATGGTCTGACTTTAGCTTTGTGAAACTATACTACAAAAAAACATCTGAACGAAAGCAAAAACAGCAGACGTGCTGAATGAGAATGCAAATTCACTCTCTGACAGTGCTTAGTTGCGAGTATGGAACAGCAGCGATACAGTTCTTCATTGGTTACTGCTGTCAACAAAGCAGCACTGCGCTTATGTACACTACTTTAAAGGTAAGGTAGGCGATTTCGTAAAGTCTAGCAATAGTTGGTGGAGGATTCAATGCAACACTGTCAGATTACCTCATGTCTCATTCCCTGATGAGAAATCATTACAGTATAAAGCGCATATTATTACAATAATAACGTCTTCCATTGTCGCTCGGTCTGCAATAGAGGCAGAGCGGAACGCTCCATAATCTGAAGACCACGCCCACCGGGGGGGGAAACAATCCAACTCTCTCCATTGACTTTGTATTGCAGGAAGCTGCCTCCTTGTCATTTCTGACTTATAACAAAAAACAGAGCAATGCCTAAAAGCTGCTATGTGACAAAGTGTACAGTAAACAAGCTAAAAAACCCAGAACTACGTTTTTATAAGCTGTCGACCAAAAAAAACATGCGCCCACTGGAGGGAAACGTAATCGGTGACAAGACCATTCATTATTTTTAACCATGTCAAAGGATTATTTCACCACCCTATGTGAATCTGAGAGGAGGAGATATATTAAGAAACTAAATTTTATTGGTCTATGTCAGTGACCCTTTTCCTAACCTTCCTTTTGTTTGAGAAATGATCCAACTGAACGGCCCAACGTGAAATACCCCGACATCTACAACTATTTGTGTCCTAAACGCTCATTTTTTTTGGTTGACAGCTCATAAAACGTAGTTCTGGGTTTTTTAGCTTGTTTACTGTACACCTTATCACATA